TAGTAAGTAGTAGTAGTAGTAGTAGTAGTAGTAGTAGTAGTAGTAGTAGTAGTAGTAGTAGTAGTAGTAGTAGTACTAGTATGGGCACGGACCCGTAAGACCTGAGTCTCCACCGGGGTGCTCGGCGAAGCCATTGATGATGATGTGATGATTGAGGGCGATGATGGGATGATGACCGCGCTCCTTAGTTGGCCTAAGTTGCGTACAGTTGGCTCCGGGCATTCAGAATGTTGCCCGGGAGTGGAGTTCTGGGAAGTGGAAGAGCACGAAGTGGCCTACAGTTGGCTCCGGGCATTCAAAATGTGGCCCAGGAGTGGTGTTCTGGGAAGTCCAAGAGCACGAAGTGGCCTACAGTTGGCTCCGGGCATCCAAAATGTAGCCCAGGAATGGAGTTCTGGGAAGTCGAAGAGCACGAAGTGGCCTACAGTTGGCCCCGGACATTCAAAATGTGGCCCGGGAATGGAGTTCTGGGAGGTCGAAGAGCACGAAGTGTGCGACTGTTTGCTTAAAACGAGCCCGGCCCTCGCCTGTCCGGCTCCCGCCCAGACCCCCCTGGGGGGTCATCAGATGCTCTCTTTTGACCCCATGCGAAACCTATCAGTCTTCGCTATTAAGTAAAACCACGAGGCCTGTCAACCTCCGAACACTCCCTGGGAAGGCCCGTGGCGGCAGGCCAGCACGCCTCGCCGCCCCCTCGCTCCCCTGCAGCAGGGGGGCGCGGCGCGGCCGCTGCAGGCCCCGCCCGCGGACGGCGGCGCTGCCCCGGCGATGCCCCGGCGGCGCCCGCGAGGTGGGCGGCTGCCCAGCGGACCACCCCGACCGGGGGATAGCAAAGGGGGGGTTTGAGAATCAGCTCCCGTAGCTGATTTTCCCGGCGCCTCCCAGCGCCGGAGGAGACTATGTATCGAGGAATGGGCCCCTCGGTGAGGCCGAAACCAGCTGCATGCAGCAAATGTCGTACCCCCCCCCTTTCCCAATCCCCCCCTCTCGTCCGGCCCCACCCTCAGGTCGGGCGTGTCCCCCTGCGGGCGGATTCTGGGCGGAGAACAAAAAAGGCTCCAGAAATGCTAGAGAATGGTCGAAAAGTACTCCAAAAATCCTCCCCAGACTCTCTTGTTTGACTGTTTCTGTCCTGTAGAGGGGCAGGCCCGACTTGCGCCCACGGACGACGGCGCCGTCTGGCGATGCCCGGCGGCGCCCGCGGGGTGGACGACTACCCACCAGACCACCCCAGCCCTGCAGCAGAGACCAGTCCACAAGAAACCCCCCACAGGAAACCCAACCCTGAGACCCCAGGACGTCCATGGATCTTCGGTGCGGGAACGTCACGCTCTCCAGCGCGAAACCGTCGAGGCCCGAGAAACCCAGGGCACCCTGGAGGCAAGCAGGGTGCTTCTTGGCATGGTCCTCCACTGTACCAGAAGACCCACATTTCGAGCGGGGGGAGGGAACGTTCTGTGGCAACTCACGGGAGCCTCCCACACCATCCTGTTGGCCCTTGCGAATCGACGCTAGTCCAGGCTAAATCGACGCGAATCGACGCTAACTCGACGCTAATCGACGCTAGCCGACGCTAAACCTGCGCTATCTCATCGATTCTCAGACGCTAATCGACGCTAACCGACGCTAAAGACGGAATTAAGAGGGCACACCAGGCTCCCATGATTTGCTGCCAAAGGCACGGGTTCCACACGTGTTTTTCCATGTTCCCCGACGCCTCCCCCCACCCCACTGGGAATGGAGGGCAAATATGGGGGCCTTCTGGCTGGGTTGGGGTGGCTTGGTGGGTGGCGAGGGGAGGCAAGGAGCGACCGGGGACATGGCCAAGTCGGACTGGCCTGCACGCGAGGCCCCCGGGCTCAGCATCAGCACCCTTCGGGTTCAACGGCGAGGGCGACGACGCACAACCAATCGGGATTTTCGAACGGAGGGAATTCTACGAGTCGCATGTGGATGTCGTGCGCAAGTGCCTGCGTGCTGTGACAGGGCGATCGTCGTGCGGGGTGAGGGAGGAGGGAGTGGATCCTGCTCCGCCCAAGGGGAAACGCCCGAGAGCTGGCCAGCTGCCCCTGGGGCAGAGGGCCTTGTCCGCGACGCCCCTGACGCGAACGCGGCCATCCGAGACACCACTCTGGGTTTCGTGCTTGAGAGGTGAGCATGCGGTTCTGCAGCTGCTGGGTCCAAATCGTTGGCCTCAAGTATTTCGCTGTCCTTGACATCTACCATCCTCACCCCAAGCACAGAATGGTCCACGGCAGACCCCAGAGATAATCTGAAGTGGTATTCGAGCATGCCTGTGATTGGGCAGCAATCGCCGCAGGTGAGCACGGGCAGCATCTGGAGCAGAGTGACTGCGCGCATGGTAGATAGTAGCAGCAAGCTAACAATTGCATGCATGATCGTTCTAAGTGCAAGTTCAGCACCAGCTTGGTTCAGATCTTTAAACGTCGCTAAGAGGGTGCCCCATACATACCCATGGGTCTGGGCCAAGACTAGAAGAGCATTTCGCTTTCAGGGGGCAAAAAAAACACAGGAACCAACAACCGGTGAACCCGCAGCTCTGTCACATTGTTGTATAGACCTCAACTATCATCACATTGTTCTTGCTCCCTTCAAGAAATGGGGGGAAAGAGAGAAAGAAAGAGAGAGAGAGAGAGAAAGAGAGAGGAGAAAAAAAAACGGAAGACAGAGAGAGAGTGGGGCGGGAAGGAAGAAGGGGAGCGACAGGGAAGGAGGGCGACGAATCCCTTGGCGACGGCCACAGAGATCGCGGCGGCTCCGACGCGGATGATCGAGCAACGCCTGCAGCCTGGAGCCCACATGACCATGTCCATACAGAACGCGCACGTTGCTCCAGAAACGCGTGGATGCCGGCGCCAAATGAGGTTCCACGCCAGTGGTTGTGTCGTCCTCCCTGCCACTCCCGACTCCCGATACCGCCAGCCAGCCTGCAACGGTGAAGCTGAGAGGCTGTTCGGCATGCACCGCAGTGCAGTGTAGAGGCGGTGGGCTGCCACAGCGGGCCACATCCGCGCACCATGCTGTGAACTGACGACGATTTCCATTGAAGGTGCACTGCCCGAGCGGCGTACGTCGGCTCCTGCACCATCAAAGCGAAATTGACCAACGCATCTGCTGGCAAAAACCGATCACCAGCCCGAATCACCTGCGATGGCGGTGGCACGCTTGAAGCAAGGTGGAAGCCCCATCCACTCCGCGCCCCATTCGCCAACAAGACTTGAAGAGCCCACCCGAAAACCGCCCTGAAAACACCAGGCGCTCCCTTCCCTCGGGAGCGCGCAAACATGGATTAGCGATCCATGGATTTGGCGCGCGAAGGGAAGTGAGGGAAGGAGGAGGCCTTCTCGGAAGGCTCGGAAGTCCCCCAGCCTTCTGAGAAGTTTCCCAGGTATCCCCCGAAGACATGAAAAACAACTTCTCAGGCGCGGGGGCTTCTGATGAAGTCCCACCGCCTTCTGAGAAGGCCTTCTCCTTCGCACTTCCCCCCCTCCCTCGCCGCCGATCCTTTCCCTCCTCATCACCATCATCACCCTCGAACTGCAGGCCATCTGACGTTCCCTGGGCAATCCCAACTGTCTGTCGAAATCCCTGCATGCGTGTGTGCGTCCACCACGAGGGGAACGATCAGATAGCAGCAGAGGAGGAGGGCCAACGAGGAGAAAGAAGAGAAGGGATGCCGAAAAGAGCGAACGACTCTGAAAGGCTATCTGGCAGAGCACTTCGCGATGCCCGGAAACCTACTACACTACTGCCCCTCGGAAAGAATGTGTGCACACCTCCTTGACCAATCGCTGTCGTCAGTCGCCAATCTCTTACGACGGCTCGTCGATGACTGCTCGGTGCCGAAACACCCATGACCTGACAAATCGCACCATTTGAAATGATTCAATCGCAACTCTGTTGATGGATCTGGATGAACCTCGGTATAGCCGTCTTGTTTGACGACATAGTGAGGAAACAACGCATCAATATGTTCTGGCCGCATAATAACTTTGCTCCTCCGTCCGAGTTCATGGATATACTGCGACTTCCCGTTGAGGTGGCATGGGTATGGTACGTCCACACGGTGGGACTCCGGCAGCATTCCCCAAAACTGGTTCCTCACGACAAGCGCAACGTCGCTGCTACCCGACTTAGGAAGCTGATCCGCAGCCGCGATACTGTGCAACTTACGGCGCAGAGGAGGAGGACGAGAAGCAGTAGGATGACGAGGAGGAGGAGGCGGAGAAGGAATCAGAATCCCTCTTCGTTGACTGGTAGGGGAACTGGAGTTTCTGGGAGCGCAAAGGCCCTCAGATGACACCAAGACGCCCTCGCAGGTCCCAAGAAGTCCCCAATGTGAACGTTCTCTTGTTCGGCGTTTCGACACTGGGCGGAAGGGGGGGGGAGTGGGGGGGCTGGCTCTGGACCTCTGCTTGATGCGACTGTTCGCATCAGTGCGTCCTATGGGGGGGACTCCACCGGCTTGAAACAGGCGCCAAAAACAGCCAGGATCTACTCCATAGGGGGACATGGGAGGGGGGTGCGAGGGCCCGCGCCGATGGGCAAAACAATGAGCAAGGAAACGATCAGGAGCCACCCAGCGAGGCCCTTTGAACCAAGAGAATCACGGAAAACCACAAAGTCGCCGACCCAGTCGGCGTGTGCGAGACGCTGTTCGTTTGACTCGTCGTCGTCGTCGTCGTCGTCGTCGTCGTCGTCGTCGTCACCGCCGCCGCCGCCGCCGCCGCCGTCGCCGCTCCCCTCCCTTTTCCCTGGGCCGTCCTCCTCGAGCGCGGCGGCCAAGGCAAAAGTGAACAACGTCGCAGCTTAGTCGAAGGGAAGCCCCTTCCCCTTGATCCCTTCCCAGCCAAAGGATGGGGGGGGACCCCGGGGGGAGGTCCTGGGGGAGGGTTGAGGGGGAGTCCCTAGTCAGAATACCATCCCCGGGGAGGGGTCCCGAGCCCAACGAGGCCCCAAGACAGGCCGAGACAAGAGGCCCCCAAAACAGTCCAAGAGGGCCCCGAATCGCCGAACGACCAATCCAAGACGCCCAAGACAGCCCCCAGACGGCCCAACAGGCCTCCAAGACGCCCCAAGAGGCCTCCAAGAGCACTCCCAAAAGGGCCCCAAGAGGCAAACTTCCTCGAGTTTCCTTGGGTTGTTGAAAGATTTGGGCGTTCTCGCCTTGTCGGCTTCCCGACGCTCAAGGACGGCACGAGAGGCCCCCCAGATCGCCTCAAGACGGCCCAAGAGGCCTCCAAGAGGGCCCCAAAACGACCCAAGAGGGCCCCAAGACGGCCCAAGTGGCCTGCAAGACGACCCAAGAGGTCCCCAAGACAGCTCCAAGAGGGAGCCCTGACGGGGGACCCGAACGGACATTCAAGCCCTCGGCCCCGACAGGCTCCCAGGAGACCCACGAGGTCCCCAAGAAGCCCCCAAGAGGCCCCCAAGAGGCCCTAAGAGGCCAGGAAGCCCCAAAAGCTCCCCACGAGGCTCCCGAGAGGCCCCCAAGTGGCTCCCAAGAGGCCCTAAAACTGCTCCCCAGCCCCCGGGAGCGCTCCGAAGAGGCCCAAAGAAGCATCCCTGAGGAGTCTGACCCTCGTTGGCCTCGTCGTCATCGTGGTCGCCGCCGCCGTCGTCGTCGTCACCCTTCAGTCGCCGTTTTGCTTTCCGGACTTTCTGCTCAAGATGGCCAGAGGCAGCCGTCAGTGAGCCCAAGACGACCCCAGATAACCCTGCGCAGCCCTCAAGATGGCCCGAGATGGCCCAGGACTGCACCGAAAAGACCCAAGGCGGCCCCGACAGCAACAACAAGAACGAGCCCTGCAAGATGGCCCTACACATGATCTTGCCGAGCTCCTCGAAGGAGCTCGGTCGATTCATCGCGAACAAGATGGCCCCAATATTCACGACAGGCTCCCAAGAATAGGCCCCAAAGTAGCCTCTAAGGAGTCCCCAAGAGAGCCCCAATCGTAACGATCATTGCTTGACCAAACATGCTTTTACAGGCTCTGTTCTGGATAGCTCGGTGTGACAATCCTGTTTACATGTGGGGACTGCACTGGCACTGCGGCAGGTTGCCGCAGGCAGCTGTATAGTTGCGTATGTTGACATCCGGACGAATGAAATCAAAGTATTCATCGACGTCCATGTGCGCAATCCACTTGGCCATACCACGCGCTTGGTAAAGGCAGTGACTTTCCATGGCACCTTGCGTAAGGAACTCTTTTTTGTCTGATATTTTGCCAAAGTAAAAAGGCACAATGGTAACCTGATCTTTCTGAATGAAACTGCTCATCGCGTCCTCAACCCAAGACGTGTCATTTTCCTCCACATAAACCAACAGTTGCGTGAATCCGAGTCTCAAATGGTAATGTGCCCATGGCTGCAAGTACTCTGCCTTTGTCAGGGGTCCTCGATCAACCATTGTGCAGATGGCATAATCCACATCACGTTTTACAAATCGTGACTCGCTTACAGGAATGCCGAAGCGATCGAACACCCATTTGTCCTTGCGCTTCCCCATCAGATTGAGACGAGCAGACGACGAACCATTCAGCGCTGATATCGTGGGGCATGAGATGACAATGGCCCAATGAGGTGATGGTCCTTCGGCGCTGATATCATTAAACGATGCCTCCACTGTTCCAGTAGGCCAGCCGCCATGATTGCGGGCCAAGCGCAATCCTTCGTCAGGACGAGGCGGGTGTAGTCCTGCGAGTTTGGAAGCATGCGCATCCACATTTGTATAGCCCCGAAGAACCGCGACAGTCTTCGGAAGCCTCGCTTTCGGTGCCGTCCATTCACACGTCCACTCGGTCTCAGCTCCCCACTCTTGAAGTGCTTCTGCTGTCGGCTCCACGAAGGATTTCATGTTTAGGATAACATGGGCTACTGGCTTCTCATGGTCGTAGAAGGCATCGATGAACAACGGTGCATTCCCTGACACCTCGGCCGCGTCCAGCATAACTGTACCAGCAACGGTATTGACGGGGGTTCCTGTCCGACCACTTCGGTGGATTAAGACTGCATGTGTAGAAAAAACGATTGGCACGAACAGGAGAACATAGTAGTGGAACATTATGAACGATATCGAGTGTTTCAAAAAATGGACTAGCCAGGTCCAGCAAACATGGCTTGATGATGAGGAAAAGCGATAGCAGCACATGCAGATGGTACTGTAATGGCGTGCCTTGGGGGTGCTAATCACAAGAGACCTCGTGTCCCAATGACCGAGAGAGCGTGATCCACCGCCGCTTTACTGTGGAAAATTGCCCCCCTCTTCCTCCGGAACCCCCCTGGGGTCCCCCCCCCCCTCCGAAAATCCCCCCCCTGCTGGAACCCCCCCCCCCCCCCCCCCTCCCCCCCCGGCAAACCCCCCCCCCTTCCCCTAACCCCCCCCCTCCCCCCCCCCCCCCCTCGAAAACCGTGGGGGTCACTACCGGTTCGAACCCCCCCCCCCTCGAAAACCGGAGGGGGGGTCACTACCGGTTCGAACCCCTCCCCACCCCCCCCACTCACCGCCAGCAAACGACTCCCGGTCCCTACCACCGTCCGCATCACATCCCCCACTGTTGTTCCCAGCACCACTGTCCTCACCACCACTGTCCCCACTGGTTCCACCACCGTCCCTACTGCCCCCACCACTGCTCCCACCACTGTCGCACTGTCCCCACTGTCCCCACCACTGTTCCCACCACGGTTCCACTCTCCCCACTTTCTCCACGGCCCCAACCACTGCCCGACTATCCCCACTGTCCCCACTGTCCCACTGACTCCTCCGCTGTCCCACTGAGCTGTCCCACTGTTCCCACCACTGTCCCCACTGTCCCCACCACTGTCCCCACTGTACCTCTGTCCCATTGTCCCACCGCCGTCCTCGCCACCGCCTTCACCACTGTCCCCACCACCACTGTACCCTCCACTGTCCCACTGTTTCCACCTCCCCCTGTCCCCACACCACTGTCCCCACCACCACCGTCCCCACCACTGTCCACTGTCCCCACTGTTCCCACCATTGTCCTCACCACTGTCCCCACCACTACAGTCCCCTCCCCACCACTGTCCCACTGTCCCCACCACTGTCCCGCTGTCCCCTCACCACTGTCCCCACCACCACCGTCCCCACCACTGTCCGCACCACCCCTCGGTTTTCCAGGAGGGGGGGGGGGGTTCGAACCGGTAGTGACCCCCACGGGTTTTCGAGGGGGGGGGGGTTCGAACCGGTAGTGACCCCCCCCCCTTTTCATGATGAACTGGGGGGGGGGGAGGGGTTCGAACCGGTAGTGACCCCCCCCGGTTTTCCGGAGGGAGGGGGGGGGGAGGGGTTCGAACCGGTAGTGACCCCCCCCGGTTTTCCGCCAGCAGCGGTAAAACACGCTCTTTCAATGACCCGACCCAGAGGAGTCGCTCCAAATCAGGCGGGAAACGGAGGTCGACCCACATCGAACAACTGAGCCATACTGTGGGCCTCCACGACCCTACTTCTTCTGCCGCCACAGCATGTCGAGAGGCCTCTAGACCAGACCGACGCCCCACCTCGAACAAGTCAAGGCAGGTGACACAGCAGTTCGCAAGTCATCTTCGGCAAGCGAACCGATTGTCGAAGATGACTTGCGAGCTGCTTCGACATGCGAACAAGCAACATCGCAATGGTTTGCCCTCGTGGGGAAGGGGCCCAAGCCTGCTTCGCACAACAGAGCGGGGGGGAGGGGGGCCAGATGAGACGCCCTAGTCCCTGGACTCGCGGAGCAGCCCGAGGCGTTCCGACGCCAGTCAAGCAGCATCGCAGCGCCCTGCTTGAGGTCGCAGCGTGGCCCGGAAGCGTTTTCTAACTCTTCCCAAATACGTGTGCCGCAGGCCTCGGCGCAGCTCCTTCGCAGCCCTGCCTGCGCTCCTGCGAAGCTCTTTTCTCAAGTCTGCAAGCTCCCCAGACACCCTGCCAAGCGAAGACGGCCCAGGATGGTCTCCAGGACTCCTCCAACACGGCCAGGGTGGCCCCAGACAGCGTCCAAGACGGTCCCAACATGCCTCCAAGACGACCTGGATGGCCTCCAGACAACCACAGATCGCCCCAAGATGGCGTCAGGATCGCCCAAGACGGGCCAAGAGGCCCAAGAGGCCTCGAAGCAGGAAGGCCCGAAGTGGCCAGAATCATTAATGCTCCGGAAGTTCTTGCCGGACTCTGGCGATTGCTCATTTTCGGCGACCCGACTGCCCAGGACGGCCCCAGAGGCCACCAAAGTGGCCCCAATAGCGCATAAGAGGCCTCCGGGATGGCCCCCTGACGGCCCAAGAGGCCCCCCAAACGGACCCAGGAGGGCCCCAAGACGCCCAAGATGGCCTCCAAGACGGCCCTGAAGCGCCCAAGAAGGCCCCACCAAGTCGGCCCAGAGAGGCCCCCAAGACGGCTTCAGACAGCGTCAGAAGGACCAGGAACGCCCGAAAACGGCTAAAGAGCCTCCCAGGGAGCCTCCGAAGGCTCCCAAGAGACCCACGGAGGCCTCCGAGAGGCCTTCAAGAGGCCCAGAGAGTGCCCCAAAGGCTCCAAAAAGTCCTCCTCCTCCTCCTCCTCCTCCTCCTCCTCCTCCTCCTCCTCCTCCTCCTCCTCCTCCTCTTCCTCCTCCTCCTCCTCCCCCTCCTCCTCCTCCTCCCTCCTCCTCCTCCTCCTCCTCCTCCTCCTCCTCCTCCCTCCTCCTCCTCGTTCTCCTCCTCCTTCTCCTCATCTTCCTCCTCCTCCTCCTCATTCTCTCTCCTCCCACGTCCTGTTAATCTTCCTCCTCCAAGTAGTCCCCGAAGGGGTCCCACAACGGCTGGGGGGGCACAGTCCGATAGCGTGGCCGAGCTCTGGCAACAATGAGTCGGCCCGCAGTGGCGCTTCCAAGAGGCAGGAGACGGCGGTGACTCGCCGTGGGCGTCTTCGATCATGGCTTCCAAGATGGCTCCGAGAGCTCAGAAGACCGCTCCAGGGCGGCTCAGCGGCCACGGGCCCTCCCCAAGAAGCCCCCTAACAGACGCCAACCGTCCGAACCCATGGAGAGCAGCCGATGTGTGCCGCCTCGTCATCTCGCAGCCGGTGGGCTCCTGAAGCCACGGGATGGCTCCAAGATCGCCCCAGTGCAGTCCAAGAGGGGCCCAAGAGGGCTCCAAGGCGGCCCCAACAGCGCCTAAGAGCGCTCCAGGAGCTTCCCAAGAGGGCTCCAGGAGGGGACCACTTCACGAATCGGGGCTCAAGGGGGAGGGGGGGGGGACAGCGCTGGTCGGCGCCGCCCCCGGCGCTCTCAACTAAAGGCAGCGAGAAGCGCTGCGTTTCTGTCGCTGGGCCTGGCATCTCGGCAACAGCACTGGGAGGCTTTTGGGCCAAGGTGGCCTCGGAGAGCGCAAGCAGGCCTGCAGCATTGCGCACGATGGTCCGTAGAGGCCCAGGATGTCCTCCAGCTTGCCTCTGAGAGGCAACAGGACCACCCCAAGACGGCTCCATGTGGCCACAGAGCGTCCCAAGAAGACCCCTGAGAGGCTAAAAACATACAAAATCTGAAACCAGCGCAACCCCAATTAGAAGGTAGACTTTCTTCCAAAGCAGTTTAAATCGGTGATCGATTCGAGGCAATGCAATGCAAAACATTACCTGGCATTTGCTGGGCGTTGCTTGGCATTGCTTGGCGTTGCATGGCGTTGCCTGGATTCGTTGCTTGGCATTGCTTGGCACTGCCTGGCATTGCTTGGTATTCCTTGGTTTTGCTTTTCATTGCTTGGCGTTGGCTTGGCATTGGCTCGGCATTGGCTTGGCATTGGCATTGCATTGGCTTTGCATTGGCTTTGCTTTGATTCGCATTGCATGGCTTTGCTTGACGTTGCTTGGAATGCTTCGCATTGCTTGGCATTGCTTGGCATTGCTTGGCATTGCTTGGTGTTGCTTGGCACTGAATGGCATTGCTTGGCAGTGTTTGGCGCTGCTTGGTATTGTTTGACATTAATTGGCGTTGCTTGGTATTGCTGGCTTTGCCTGACATTGATTGGCTTTGCCTGCATTGCTTTTGCTATAGTTTGGCATTACTTGGCGTTGCTCAGAAATGCTTGAAATTGCTTGGTATTGCGTAGCATTGCATGGGAAGCCCCAGAAAACCTTGGGCAACGCCGGGGCAACCCCGAGCAACGCTGGGGAACGCCTGGGCAACCCAGAACAACGCCGGCGGGGAAGGACCCCGCACCCACTGGAACCTTTAGCAAACTAATAGGAAACCCTTTAGGCAAAGCCTAATTGGATAATGCTAAAATGAATGGTGGCTGCCTTCTCATCCTTTCGCTCACGAAGGGCCACCGAGGCCTCAAGACAGCTCCAAGATCGCCCAAGACCGCCCCAAGAAGGGCCCAGAAGAGGTCCAAGACGGCCCCAAGAGCGCCCAGGAGCACGCCAAGAGTATACCAAACAGGCTCCAAGAGGCAATATTTCAGGAACCAGAGGGGCAGCGCCAATCCGAGCCGCATTTTGCTCGGTGGCCTCCAAGATGGCCCGAAAGGCCCCCAAGGGGGTCCCAAGAGATCCCCGAAAGGACCCCAGCGGCTCCCAAAAGCGCCTCAAGAGATCTCCAAGATAGCTCCAAGAGGAATTTAAGAGGCTCCAAATAGGTCTCCAAGTTCACTATTGTCAGCCCCTTTGTTTCACTGTGTACTTAACTCTGGGACTCTGCCCCCCTAGCACGTTGAGGCGTCCTAGAATGACAAGTGTTGTCTGGCAGGGTTTCTATAAGGTTTCTCAGGATCCCCCCCCCTCTCGTAGCATCGAGTCGCGCGCATCGCATCCCCTTCCTGAGGCCAGAACCCCTCGCAAAATACCACATATTCGTACTCCCGAAGCCACAACCCCTCGCAAAGTACCACCAAGTCGCGCTCCCGAAGCCAAGATGCCTCCAAGACGGCCCAAGATGGCTCCAAGATGGCCCACTGTGACCTCAAGGCAGCTCGACATGGCTTCAAGGCGGCCCGAGGGGCCTTCGAGTCGTCCCAAGAGAGCCCAAAGAGCCTTCCCAGGAGGGCCTCGAGAGGTAAGAATGTGTTTCTGTCCTGCGGTGTTCAATCTGCTTGGGGTTCTCCCCTTTTCCAGCTTCCACGACGTCCGAAAACGGCCCAAGAGGCCCCCAAGAGAACCTCAAGACGACCGCGGAGACCCCTGGGAGGGCTCCAAGACGGCCAAAGAGGCGCCCAAGACTTGCCAAGAGGGCCCTAAGACAGCCCCAAGAAGGGCCCAAGAGGGCCCCAAGAAGGGCCCAAGAGGGCCCACAGGGGCCTCCATCACTGCCTCACAACAGGCCAAGACAAGAAGGCCCAAACGAGTCCCATGAGGGCTCGTCAAGTGGAAACTAAATACGCTACATGTGACTGTGGTCCTCCTCCTCATCTCCCTCCTCCTTCTCCTCCTCCTCCTCCTCCATCTGCTCCTTCACATCATCCTCATCACCAGTATTATCAAAATCATCATCATCATCATCATCATCATCATCATCATCACCACCACCACCACCACCACCACCACCATCATCATCATCAGCATCAGAATCATCATCGAAATCATCATCAGCATCATCATGATCATCGTCGTCATCATGAATCGTCAGCATCATCATCATCACCGTCATGATCATCATCACATTTCTCATCATCATCATCAACAACAACAATATCATCAACACCATCATAATCAGCATCAGCATCAGCAGCATAATCATCAGCATCATCAGCACCATCACCACCACCATCACTATCATCAGCAGCAGTATCAGCATTAGCATCAGCACCATCAGCATTTCATTATCCTCCTACTCTGCATCATCACGATCAACCTCATCATCATCAGCAGCAGCATCATCATGATCATCATCAGCATCATCATGATCAACAGCAGCAGCACCATCCTCATAATCATCATCAGCAACATCATCAGCATCATCCTCATCAGCACGATCATCATCAGCAGCATCACCATCATCATCATCACCACCACCACCACCACCACCACCATCATCATCATCATCATCATCATCATCATCATCATCATCACCATCATCATCATCATCATCATCATCATCACCATCATCATCACCATCATCATCATCATCATCAGCATCATCATCATCATCATCATCATCATCATCACCATCATCATCATCATCATCATCATAATCATCATCATCATCATCATCATCATCATCATCATCATCATCATCATCATCATCATCACGGCTCCCCCAAGCCTGGGGACACGAGGTGTCACACGTGACGGCCTCCTGTGCCCCCTCGAGTAGTTGCCGCCCAGAATGCTGGGCTGGCACGATGGCGGGACTTGCCGCAACTCCCTCCTCCCGCCAGCGCGCCTGGGCATCTTTCCTGACTGGGCTAGAGGAAACTTTTTCCCGGAAAGGGCGCCGGCCCAGGGTTCTCTTTTAGTTGGTAAACCTGTCCCCGGTGCCTCAACTGAGGTGGGCCGGCGGATTCTTTCCCTGATAAATATCGAAGTCGAGGTGGGCCGGCGGAGTAAAATTTGAGGATGTCTCAGGCGAAACGCTTGTTTTTGAAATTCCGATCGATAAATCACCGGGTGCGGGCCACTCTTTCGTGTGTTGAGGATGTCTCGAGCGAAACGCTTGCTCCGCAGAGTTACCGAGGATGTCTCGAGCGAATCGCTTGTCTTGTAGAGCTTGAGGGATCTGGGCGCCCCAGAGATTTGCCTTCTCCAGGTGCACGAACCCGTGTGTTTTTACGTATGTGCCTGTAGATTTGCCCTCTCCATGTGCACGAATCCATGTGCGTCTTTTGCCCGGCTCTGCCGCTCCTGCCTTCGCCGCGCAGATCTGGGCAGCTGGCCCGACAGCGCGGCGGGAAATACGATCTTCCTTCCCTTGATCTCTCGAGCCCCGTCTTCGTCGTCGCCCGCGCGAAGGATCACAGATAATCCACCCCATTCGAGGTTCCAGGCGGGGATAAAGAGGTTATCCCCGCCTGGAAACTCGCCGCCGTTCTCGCCGCCGTCGTCGCCCTCGTCGCGCAGCCTCGGGGCGTCACCTCCAACCGTATAAACATTGCAGTAGACGCGCCGCGCGCCATGCAACTGGTCTCGCGATGGAGTCCCTAGAGACGCTGCTAGTGAGTTTCTAACGGCACGTTCACATGTGGCTAATTAGTCCGCTTAAAAAACGTTGACGCCATTAGACGAGCTACCTTTTGCTCACGAGGCAGCCGACGAGGCGGCCAGCAAGGCTGCATAGCAGGCGGCCAACGAGGCAGCCGCCAAGGCCAGCCACCAAGCAGCCAACCGATTTTCATTCAGTAGCGGTTCGGGTTCGCCCCCTCTTGCTCCGCCCCGCTTCGGAAATGAACCGGATCTTGAACTCGAGCTGGTTGAGAGCCCCGCACGTTTCGATTGCGACCAGCTCAAGGGCGAGTTATGCGTTCAAACAGCTCGGGCTTAAGATCCAAATCAGTTCGGCCAGGATTCGGAGGCCACGGGCGAATTCATCCACAACGCAATTGAGCACAGCACAGTTCAGCGCAGCATGGCAGATTCCAAGTCAGCACAGCTCGGCACAGCACAGCCCCTGGCACAGCACATCGCCATCGACACCTTCAGCATTGCAAGTGCCCGTCGCCCAATACGGTGTCGCGAAAACGTTTCCATGCTTGCGGTTCTATATGCGTATCCACGACCACACCCCAGCACGACCACACCCCAGCAAGACCACACCCCAGCACGACCCCACCCCAGCACGACCCCAACCCAGCACGACCACACCCCAGCACGACCCCACCCCAGCATTACCCCACCCCAGCACGACCCCACCCCAGCAAGACCATCACCCAGCACGACCACACCCCAGCACGACCTCACCACAGCACGACCACACCCCAGCACGACCACGCCCCAGCACGACCACGCCCCAGCACGACCACGCCCCAGCACGACCACCCCCCAGCACGACTACCCCCCCAGCACGACCACCCCCCAGCACGACCACCCCCCAGCACGACCACACCCCAGCACGACCACTCCCCAGCACGACCACACCGCCTTGGTTGAGTGGTTGCCTGTCGTCGTGGAATGTTTCGTGGGGTGTCTCGTGGACTGTTTCGCGGGGTGTCTCGTGGAATGTTTCCAAGAAAACGTTGAAAACGGTCGCCCGTGTCTCGTGGAATGTTTCGCGGGGTGTCTCGTGGAAGTGCCCGTCGCCCAATACGGTGTCGTGAAAACGTTTCCATGCATGCGGTTCTATATATCCCTTTCCGGGTTCGTGGGTCCATCATGCTTGGTTCGCGAGAGCAAACGGAAGGGCCGCGCGCCGTCCAAAGCTACAACCAACAAGCAGGAACCTAAATTCCTCACGAGAAGCGTCAAGATTTTGCTGATTGATGGACCCGTGGAGGCACGCGAAACGAAAGACGAGCCCCCACCCGGCCGCTGCCACCCCCCCTCCGCCGCTGGCCCCCCGCCAGCGCCTGGTGGGAGCTCAACGTCTCGGGACGAAGCCCCCACTGATTCCCCGCCAGTGAGCACCGTTTCACCGACCCCTCTCGCCATGGGCGTGGCCTGGGCCCCGCTGGCCGATTTGACCCCCCCTAGACTGGGGATGCTGGCAGCTTCCTTCGGGCTTCTCGAGGGGTATATCCCCAACTGGGGTGCTGAGTGATGGGGATACGGGCAGGTTAGCCCAGAATCGAATCGATAGGTCGGATCGGCGATCGGAATGAATCGGATCGACCGGAATCAACAGCCGAGTCGGAAAAAGTCGAATCGGCAGACATCGGCTGGCTACTAGGCCTCTGTTGGGAAATCGGATCCCAAATCGGAACCCGAAGTCGAATCGAGTCGGAATCGGAGTCCGTCGAGATCGAATCGCATCGGATCGGGGGAATCGAAACGGGCCCTGTACGGGTCGGCTAGGCGATGCTGCACCAGCCGTGGCTGCCCCCGCCAAGCTCCCGAGAAGCCCCCGCCTCGAGGACCGCGCGCCCGCCGCCTGGCCCGGCGGGTCTGCCCAGTAAGGGTCTCCCCTCGGCCTGCCCGGGGCCTGCGCGATGCCGTGGACGAGGAGCCACGGCTTGTGACTACCTACCAGACCACCCCAACCCAACCCGAAGACCCGAATTTGACCCGATTTCGGGTTGGGGGGGGTACGGATACCATGTGTTTTTTCAACGTTCCCCGAACCCCCCCCACTGGAAATGGAAGGCAAATTGAGGGCTTCGGGTTGGGTTGGGGTGGTTTGGTGGGTGGTGAGCTTGCGAGGCGGGGGGTCGTCCACGTCCACCGCCGGGAGGCCGATGTCCGGGTGCCCCCGCGGGCGGTGGGTGCGGATCTATGTTGGCCCCCGGGGGCCCGAAGATATCCATTATCCACCGCCTGCAGAGGTCCCCGACAATTGATCCTCCAGGCGGTGGTCATGTATACACGCTTCCGCCTCAGAGGTCTGGCTGGACCCGCCAGCCACACCCACCTGGGGCAGAATTGCTCCAACGGTAATCGCTGCATGGACTGGACCTGCGTTGCCATTGCGAGGAAAATCCTGGAGGCCTCGCGCGGCAGCTTGAGACCCGATTTACGTCAGATCCACGTCGGATTTACGTCGGGTTCACGTCGGACACCGTCGGATTTGTGTTGGATTTACGTCGGACTGACTATACTACTATTAAGCGCCGCGCGAAGCCTCCAGGATTTCCCTCAAAATCGCCCGACATCGCCTTACACCGCATTGCCTGACGTTCGCTTCTCTCCTGTTTCCTTGCCTCGCCGAATCCCGCCCGGCCTGACTCCGCCACCCCCCTCCTATTTCCCATAACTTGACACGCCTTCCCTCTGGCGTGTGCTGGTTTGGAAGATCATAACCCTACTCATCCACCTCCCTCCCCTTATCATCCGCGAACTCGAGGTCGTCTCCCTGGTGCAATCGCGACAAGTGGCGGACACCCCTGCCTACAGAGTGCATCAGCTAAGCCAGCACGACCGTAATGGAAACAGAAAGGGAGGGACAGCGAGGAGAAGCAAGAGGTACAAAAATGAGGAGGGCCAAGGTCTCTGCAGAGGCTACATCGCAGAGCTCCCTTCGAGCGCCCAGACAGAAACGCCCTACTGCTTCGCAGAGAGCATGTCTGAACACCGCCTCTGCCAATCGCTGTCGTCAACCGACAACTTTTTGACCATGCTCCATTCTGATTGTTCGGTACCAAAACACCCATCGCCTGACGCGGTGCACAACTTGAAATGATTCAAGCGCAGCTCTGATGTTGGATCTGGGTGTACCTCTGTATAGCCCTCTTGCCTGACGACAAAATGAGGAAACAACGCATTGATGTGCTCTGGTCGCATTATAACTTTGCTCCTCCTGCCCACTTCATGAATATACTGTGACTTTCCGTTGACGTGGCATGGGTAGGGTGCGTCCGAACGGTGCGAGTCTGGCAGAAGTCCCCAAAACTGGTTCCTCACCAAAAGCGCAACGTCGCTGCTATCCGACTTAGGGAGCGGATCCGCCACCGTCCCTCCAGAACGTTTGGGCGCATTGGAAAGCCTTCTAGCTGCATGGTAGGGCAACCGGACATATGAGTCCCCCGAGGGATTCTCAAGGGAGCTCTCCAGGAGGCTGGCGGCGGCGAAAGTGTGTAGACCTGTAAGTGTGTATATATGTATATATTCTCATACGCACCTCTCCGAGGGAGTAGAGCTCAGAGGCGATTAATGCGTCCGTCGTTCGCGATTTTTCTGGCCGTTTCGCTCGGGACATCCTCGAAATTCTGAAAATCGGTGGCACCCCTCACGCAGATCGTGACGTCAGGGTCCAAAAACACATAGGATTTCCAACATTTTATCATAAAACCTTCAAAAACACATGGTAATTTCAATGATTTTGACTCCGATTCTCAGAGAATGGCGGTTTCGCCTGAGACATCCTCCCAAAATCGAGCCCCAGACCCCTCCTCGGAGCCTCCTGGGGGCCTCCTGGAACCTCCTGGGGCCTCCTGGGGCTTTCTGGACCTTCTGGTACCCCAGACCCCGCCTCGGAGCCTCCTGGAGTTCTCCTGGGCCTGCTGAGGCCGCCTGGGGCCTCCTGGGGCCTCCTGGGGCTTCAGAACTACATGCACACACAGAGACACAAATCACGCCCAACACATCACACGCTAGACAAACATAACATACACACACACAACACCGACAACACGCAAAAAGCACGCACCACACAAAGCACACATCACACACACACACACACACACACACACACACTCACAATCCTGGGGCCTCCTGGAGCCTCTCCTGGTATCCAAGTCGGGCCTCCTGAGGCTTCCTGGGGGGCCCTGGTACACACATCGCAAGGTGTGGCAACCCCACTTGCGCTCGAGTGCGACTTCGCTGTTGCATGTCACTCCTGCTTCAAACGCCCCTTCAGCTTGTTGTATGAGCCTGGGCACACACGTGCCACTTGTATATATACATATATGTGTATACATTGGGGACTCGCGCGCGAGTATCGATCCCCCTGCTTTTCTTGCCGGACGACACGGGGGTACCCGTCTTCGTCTCCACTCTTCTCTTTTCACATGATGTTTCCTTCTCTCTCTCTCTCTCTCTCTCTCTCTCTCTCTCTATATATATATATACATATATATATATAAATAAATATATAAATATATATATATATATATATATATATATGTATATCCTTCTCGCTCCCTCTCTCTCTCTATATATATCATACACATTTCTATCATGTCCCATCTCTCCCTCTCTCTCTGTCTCTCTCTTTATCTCTCTCTCTCTCTATCTGTCGTAGTCCCTGGGTGGGGCGGGTACACATGTATTCCCTTTGTGCGAGGGATACAACATGAATATTTCTATGGCGGAGGAGGGGAGGGTCTGGCGCTGGGGGGAAGATCCCAAGGAAAAAACCGGACACCCTGAATCCACTGACCCCGTTGTTGTTTTTTGGGGGGCTGATATACGAAAAGAAAAACCTACAAACACACGCATACAACAAAAGCAACGAAAACACAAAAATGGAAACTGGGCCAGTGGATTCAAGAGGTCGATTTTTGTTCCTGGGACCTTTCCCCCAGTGCCAGACCTTCCCCTCCTCCTTCACAGAACGAATCAATGCGAACCCCTCGGCGCAAAGGAAATCTATGTGAACCCCCCCACGAAGGGAATCGACGTGCAACCCCCCACATAAGGAATCGACCTGTGACCTCCCACATAAGGAATATATGCGCAATCCCCTCCACAAATGGAACCCATGTACCACCCCGAACAAAAGAAATAGGTACGTAACCCCCCACAAAAAGAATACATGTGTTGCTCCGTTCTCAAAGGGAATTTTTTGTTTGTTTGTTCGTGCCCCCACTACAGAGGAAATATTCGCCGACCCCCGTTTGCCGAGGGGGAGGAGGCGTGTGAGAGAAGTGGCTCTCCCCCCGCTGCTGCTGCTGCTGTTGAGGAGGAGGACGACGACGACGACGACGACGACGACGAGGAGGATAAGGAGGAGGAGGAGGAGGAGGACGAGGAGGAGGTGGAGGAGGTGGAGGAGAGGAGAAGAGGGGGAGGGGGAGGAGGAGAAAGAGGAGGAGGAGGAGGAGGAGGAGGAGGAGGAGGAGGAGAAAGAGGAGGAGGAGGAGGAGAAGGAGGAGGAGGAGGAGGACGAGGAGGAGGAGGAGGTGGAGGAGGAGGAATCGAGGAGGGCACCGAAATCTCGTGCAAGGGGGCGGGGCACCGGCTCTCCCCGGCGCCTCCCTGGAGGCTCTCCAGGGCCTCCGAGTCTTCCCCCCGTGGCCTCCAGGGCGTGCCAGGGAGGAGGAGGAGGAGGAGGAGGAGGAGGAGGAGGAGGAGGAGGAGGAGGAGGAGGGGCTGGGCCAAGACTCGGCCGCGGGCCTTTTTTCGCAAGTCTCGGGAGTCCCCCAGCCACCTGAGCAGCTTCCTAAGCCTTCCTCCTCCTCCTCCTCCTCCTCCTCCTCCTCCTCCTCCTCCTCCTCTCAGAAGACCCGAGGGTTTCTGAGAAGTCCCGCCACTCGTACTAAAATATCTTTGTTGCATGAACCCGCGATGCTAATCCCTTGGTAAAATGCACCCTTCCAAAAGACTCCTTGCTAAAAAGAACCGTAGACTCGGAACATGTCACGAAAAGGACCCCATGTTGATAAAATGCATTCTGATAGAGACCGCGATCCGGATCCAGTACTTCAGGGGGCCATCTGAAGGACGGCATCCGCAATGGGGCACCCTGACGAAAGGAATCATCACTGCGGAATATGTGTTACAAGGGCCCTATCTGAGGGAACCCTTGGCACCGGCATGGGGACTGAGGATTCCTCATCAAAGTGACCCCTGCTCAGGATTCACTGTCATAAAGGATATTACCGAAAGGCATCCTTGATGCGGATCCCTAAAGACTCACTGCTGCAAATTACTCTGAAATAAAAGGGGTCCTTACTAGGACCTCCTGACTTAAAGGACCCTTCCTAATGATGCTTCATTCAAAAGGTCCGTACTCGGGATGTTCCACTTACGGTACCCGTAATATTCCAAATTGCTTACTCGAAGAATCCGCCATTAGGATCCTGTATACCAGAAGTCTGCACTAAGGACCCTTTACTAAAGGCATCCTTACTGAGCAACATGACGACAGGAACCATTACAATCATTACTGCGGAATCTGTCTTACAAGGGAACTAACTCAGACACACCTTGGCACAGGCATCTGGACTGAGGACACATCATTCAAGGGATATACCTATATACGTATATATCTATATATTTATTCGCTCTTACTAAAGAATATGCATTGAAGACATCCTGCAGTAAGACCCCTTGAAAGAGGCAGCCTTACGACGGACTCCTTACTGAAAAGATTCGAACTAAAAACTCTTTCGCAGAGGGATCCTTTCTAGAGACTCCTTATTGAAAGGCCTCCTTAATAAGGACGCTTCACTCACGGGATTATTACTCGAAATGCCTCATTAGAGCGTACTAAAGAAATCCGCCATCAGGCTCCCGTACCCCGGGCATCCTGATTAAGGACACCTTACTCAAAGCATCCTTACTCAGAAATGCTTGTTGAAGGAGCCATTGCTGCGCAATACATACTGCATGGGATCTTTACCAAAGGAGTCTTAGTACAGGCATATGCGATAACGTGTCCTCATTCAAGAGTCCCCAGTAAGGGTCCTTATGAACGAATGACTCATGAAAGGATCCTGCTTAAGGACCCCTCTCCTGAAGTATTCCTGACGACGGGCCCCATAGTGAAGGATACGCATTAAAACCGATTACGGAGAAACCGTACCCAGGATCCTGACTAAAGAATCCAGATTACAGGAACCATCATTACGGACTACTTACCAAGGACTCCTGACCAAGGATTCCGTACCAAGCATTGCAACTTATCAAGGACTCCTTACCTACGAGTCACTACCATACACAGAATCAGGAGGGGGAGGCAAAAACGCGAATGAAACGATGAGGGCATACGATGTCCACCACAGGGCAAGCAAGGGGGACCGATATGCGCGCGCGCTCGTATATATATATATATATACACATATATATATTATGCACACTGGAACAAGACACGCGCGAGTTCCGCGTGCACCGAGGTTCTAGCCGCGCCCAAGCAACTCGCATCGCAAGTTGCCAATGAGCAACGAAGGGGTGATTCTGGAGCCCATTCGGGGGTGGTAGAGGAGATCTGCGGCAACTAAGTCTTGGAATGCCGGCGACGTGTTGGGAATTCTGAGGGGTCCTTCAACGTTTTTGCGCTTCACTGGAGCCCCCCGAGGACCAGAGGAGGAAGGGCTGAACAAAGAAGAGCGACGCCCGAGCCTGGCTCCGAAGTACACGCCACCAGGGTCAAACCACGAAATATCGAAGGCCGCTCATTCCCCTGCTGGCCACGCATCTAGTGCCAAACCACGGTGCAACGAGGGCAAAGAAACAATCGGCGTCGCACGAGCAGAGCCTCAAATTCAATAGATTTGGCTTCTTCGGGGCATCTGCGAAGAGCTTCCGCGCCACCTCCAGCCGTCTTTGGGCCGTCTTGGCGCCTCTTGGACGTCTGTTGGAAATGCGGTATTGCGGGCCTGTGGGGGCCGTTTTTGGAATCGTCACAAGGGGGCATCCTGGGCCATGTTGAAACTCTCTTGGGGCCGTTTGGGGGACCTTTTGAGCTGTCTTGGAGACCTCTTGGGGCCGTACTGGGGCAGTTTAGGGCCCATATTGGGCCGTCTTGGGGTCCTCTTGGATATCTTGGGCCGTCTTGCGCCCCTTCGAATGTTTATTTCAAAAATATTGAACCCCTTGGGGAGCCCTCTTCGGGCCTCTTGAATCATCGCAAGCCCATCTCGGGCCCTCATGAAGCTCTATTGGGCAGTCTAAGGGCGAGCTCGGAAGTCGTCAGGGCCGTCTTGGGCGGACGGCTCCCGAAGCCCCCTCGAGTTCCTCTTTTTGGACCTCCGTAAGGGGCGCTCTCAGGGGTGCTGGGCCGTGGCATATTCGG